GTGTTTATAAACTGTGAGCTGGTAAGGAGCACAAAGTCATAAGATGACAACCTTTAGAGAAGATGCTTGGAAAAGGATCCATATGGAGTTGGGGAGGAAACTAGGGATCCACAGGGTGCACCTTATTTTCTTCCCATAGTGTTTGCTTCTAGAACACTGAAGGTAGAGACAGGTCTGCTAGCAGCTGAGGTTGATAGGAGATAGCCTATAGGAGGAGGTTATCATCTGTCTTCAGTTACGTTCATTGTTTCATGAGCTATGGCGACTGTCCTGCCCAGTATATTAGTAACATTGAAGTTTGCTGATCTCCTGCCTGTCTTGGACACTTCCATCAAATTACTTTATGGAAGTTCAGTTCCTGTCGCATCATTCCTGAGGTAAAGTAAACTTAACTGGATAGGAGGGAGTTGGAGAAGGGAGCAAGTTATAGACTTTTGGCCCACTTGATGCCCTTCTATCTACCAGCACAACTCCCCACAGCTGCACACTCTAATCATGTCTAATCCTGTATAAAGGGACATGACAGGCTTGAACCCCTGGAATATCTCTATTGGTATTCAGCAAGTGGATTCATTGACTGCTTCCCAGATGGCTGTTCAGGCCCTGTATACATTCACTGGTTCTGATAGATAGGTGTGTAGAATTCTTCTAGAACACTGTACATGAATGACTGGTGATGTTTCAGAAGGGGCCCCCAGGGTATATCTTTGGAGGGTGGCTTCTGGTTTAATTTTCTGAATCCCATGTCTGCAGTTGGATGTACTTGTACTTTTCTCTTGTTGGAAAGTTTTAGTTCATGTGGACATAGTCTGACCCCAGTTTTTTGTTTTTATTTTTTAACTGAGTGAGTGTACGCCATTGTGCAATTTGGTTAGAAGACAATTTGCAGGAGTCTGTTCTTTCCTTTCCCTGTGTGGATCTTATGATTGAACTTGCTCAGTCTTCATAGGAAGTGCCTTGCTGAGTCATCTCGAGGGCCTTACCTCCAGTTTTTATTTAATTATAAATCTCCAATTCTAGCTTAAAGTCCTTCAAAATTGGGCATTGCTTACTTAATTTTTTTTTTTTTTTTTTAGGCAGGGTCTCACTTCTAGCCTGGAACTCATCATGTAGACCAGGCTGGCCTGAATTTACAAAGATGGGTCAGCCTCCATCTCCCTAGTGCTGAAATTAAAGGCATGCACCACCAATCTGTCCTTTAAAAAAAAAAATCCTGGTCTGTGGTGGTGGCACACGCCTTTAATCCCAGTACTCAGGAGGCAGGGGCAGTCATATCTCTGAGTTTGAGGCCAATATTCACTACAGAGTTAGTTCCAGGACAGCCAGGGACACACAGAGAAACCCTATCTTGAAAACAAAAACAAACAAAAAATCCTGTTACCTTCTACAACAGAACCCCTTCCACTCTGAGCATCTTGTTCCTGATGTGAATTTGTTTTAAAACAGAAAAAAATGTGTGTGTGTGTCTGTGTGTCTGTGTCTGTGTTATATAGTGTGCCATAGGTGTGCCAGGTACCCAGGGAGGGCAGAGGCAGTTGTGACCCACCTGATGTGGGTGTTGGTGTTTGAACTCAGGTCCCTGGAAGAGCAGCATTTTTAACTGCTGAGCCATCTCTCTGGTCCTGTTTACTTTTTGTTTTTCTTTTTTAGTTTTTAACAAAAGAACCTTACTGTGTAGCCTATGGTAGCTTTGAACTTGCAGTCTTTGCCTTGGCCTTTGAAGTGTTGGACTTACAGGTGTCTGCCATTATACTCTGCTCCTTATTCATTATACTCTGCTCCCTGTTTTTATGTCTTGTCCTTTATGATTGCTCTTTTTTACTCTCATCCTATCCACCGAGTTTTCTTGTAATCAATGTCCAATTTATATGCCCATATCATTCTTTTACCTCAAATCTACCCTGTTTTTGTTCACTCTCTTGAATCAAAAGTAATCTTTCCCCTGAATTTCTATAGTTGCTTATAATTTTTTCCATTTAGCACCTGAATGTTAAAATTTGCATCATAGTTATTGTATGTTAAACTGTAACCTAATTGAAAACAGGAACCACATCTCTTAGTCATTTAAATGGTGTTATCATGGTTCATTGTATGTAATAGATGGTAAATAACTATTGAATGAGTCAACTTGGTGATTTCCGCCAGTGACTGAATGGTCACAAGTAATCAGGATGCTGACATTTTTATCAATTCTTTGAAATGAATATTAGTATAAATTTATTGCATGAAATTGTACTAATAGTACTACCTTCATTTGTCTTTCATATTTCTAATCTGGAGTTATACATGTTTCCTTAGTTGTTATCATAATATATGGTTTTCTCCACTTAATAACTATCATTTACTGGTTCTTTACTATTAACTAGGAAAAATCTCAAATATAACATGTATATGATTCTTTAATTCTTGCAACACCAGTGAAGCAGGCTATTCTCCCATGACTATTCCTTTTTACAGGTAAGGATACTCAGACATAGGGGACAAGTAACTTTTTAGGGACAGGAGAGATGGCTCAGGTTAAGAGCACTTGTTTCTTTTGTAGAGGACCTGGGTTCAGTTCCTACCACCACAGAGCTGCTAATAACTGTTTGTAATTCT